ACTATTTTAATATAATATAATTATATTATAAATCAAATTATAATGTACATTATATTATAATCGCCAAGCATGGCATTACATAGAGAAATGTGATTTGCTAACCCTTACAATTAAATTTCATTGGTCTGCTACCCAGTGCCCAAAAGGGAGGAGGTGTGTTTTCATTTCAATAGTGTGGCACCAGAGATAGCGAACCAATTCATCCTTCACTGAGGAGCACCAACTAAAAATTTTATCTGATCAGAGAGAGTGGCTAACATTATTTGGAAATTGAAACATCCAAATTTCAATGCAGAATTCAGAAGCTCTGAATTTGCACCTAATCTTGCTCCTTGAAAAAACTAGAAAACATTTGTATGGAAGTATTTTGATCCAGATCTCACCTCATACTCGCATTCTGAGGCTGGTTACCGGTTACAGCAACAGGACCAAATTTACATCACAATTGTAAAACTTCCTTCCTTTGTTTGCGACGTAGATTCCTAATGAACGAGTAAAATACAAAGTAAAGAGTTAACTAGAATAATAAAATGTCAGAATAATTAGAGACCGACAAACAACCAATTTGCCTTTCAACCTAAATTCGAGGTCATACTAAAATGGAGCCAGATTAGATAATAAAACGGAGTCAGATTGAGTTAAACCTAAATTGAATAACTCTGCGCGCTGAAAAGACCGAACACGCAAGAGACCTTCATCCGCCACTGGATACCTTCCTTGGGCCAAGTGTGTGGACCTTACAAAGTGGTGCCCCCGGACGTGATCTCCCCACAAAGTGGTGACCGGCGACGCGATCACCTTACAAATTGGTGACCGGCGACGCGATCTCCTAAACAGGCGAGTGACGTTTTTCAGCGCAATATGGATTTGCACCGAACAAAGGGTTTGATCATCTCCTTCTCTTTCTCCAGCTGCTGTGGTAAGTCAATTCTTATTTGCCTTTTAGAAATATTGAGGGAAAGACAGACGCATCCCATATATACACATTTATAGAATGAGTCGGAATACTCATATTGTTAGACCGGAGACCGGATCCGGTGGGTTTGAGAATTAGACGAAACCACGTACTTGTCAGGGACATGATAGCGGCAGCGTAGACGAGGAATGACATCCCTTGTTCTGAAATGGAAATATCTCTTTGTTTGCCTAAGCAACAAGAGATGAAACTTAAAAATTGGAATACCATCATCCAAATTATATTCTGGTACTCAACAGATAGTCATAAATTAGAACCTAAAGTTTTAATCTGCAAACTGCCTCCTCTATTGTTTTATTTGCTTCATTGCAACAAATGAGCAACATTTTAATGAGAATGAACAAACAGAATACAAATTCCAAATGAATAAAACAATTGGAAAACTTGTGATTGAATGAAAGGAAGGCAATTTAAGTTGATACATTTATATGTGAAAAGTAAGTTGGGCAAAACAGAGTGATAAAATCACAACACAGATAAAAGAGCTTCAAAGAAAGCTTCATTGAGGCCAAAATTATACCTCAGCTCTTGAGGACTAACTACTACAAAGCAGAACTCCTCTTGACTGCAGTAAAACAATAGATGATAAGCTTGAAACTGATAAAACTGATACACAGATTGAAAGTGATGATTTTATAAAACAAATGACTTTGTTTCTGAGAGGCTGAGTCCGTTTAAGTTGATACATTTATATGTGAAAAGTAAGTTGGGCAAAACAGAATGGTGTAATCACAATACAGATAAAATAACTTACTAAATAAAATAAATAGGCCTTGAGACCTAAAAACAGTGATTGTGCTTTGCATCAGCCCTGAGCTTGCCCAGCTCCTCAACACCTTTTCATATTCAAATGAATTGCCATGAGAATGCAACAACTTAGAACTTAGACCTTATTGCAGATGGAAAATTTCTCACATGAGTTGTGATTTGACCATGTACTTGCTTGCAGTTTGCAGTCATTGGATGTTAACAACTTCAGAGTCTCTCATTGGCTTTAAGACGGACTAGTTGTTATACATACAATGTACATGTGTGTACTACTGTGACTACAGGGCCAAATCACAAGGTCTTCTCAAAGACGAACACATTGACGACTATATTATTCCAAAGACTCTCCAGAGACCAGAAATAATATTATTTTAATATATACTATTTTAATATAATATAATTATATTATAAATCAAATTATAATGTACATTATATTATAATCGCCAAGCATGGCATTACATGGAGAAATGTGATTTGCTAACCCTTACAATTAGATTTCATTGGTCTGCTACCCAGTGCCCAAAAGGGAGGAGGTGTGTTTTCATTTCAATAGTGTGACAAGTGATAGAGAACCAATTCATCCTTCGCTGAGGAGCACCAACTAAAAATTTTATCTGATCAGAGAGAGTGGCTAACATTATTTGGAAATTGAAACATCCAAATTTCAATGCAGAATTCAGAAGCTCTGAATTTGCACCTAATCTTGCTCCTTGAAAAAACTAGAAAACATTTGTATGGAAGTATTTTGATCCAGATCTCACCTCATACTCGCATTCTGAGGCTGGTTACCAGTTACAGCAACAGGACCAAATTTACATCACAATTGTAAAACTTCCTTTCCTTTGTTTGGAGCATGACTGTATTTACACAAAGCCACGATCGAATGCAGCCACACAGCACTATTTGATCTTTTTAATTTACTTGAAAAATAATGAAAGGGGGGTGTAAAATACTAAACATCAGACCAAAATACCAGATGTCTTTATGTGCCACAGAGATCTGCATGTGTGAACAACACCATAAAACAACAATTGCCAAACAGACAACACCGAAACAGGTGAACACATTTCTGCCCACAGATCTGACTGTAATGAGAGCAACTGCAACTAAAGCCATGGACATTGGTCCATTGGAGTTCATGATGACATGGGTGATAAAAACACCAATTAATCTAGAAAATGTCCCCAGCAGAACTGGGATCTCTAATGCTCATGACACAGCAGACTGTGAAGGCTCAACTGCAGGAGCAGCATCAGGTGTTACACACTCAGACTGCACTGAAACAGTAGCAGTAATTCAGATCTGACCAATGACACTCAGTTTCATGTGACATCTGGAATTAAAAGTACAATACATGATGATGATGTAGTTAAAATAATTCCACATGTCTGAACGTGAAACTGATGAGAAGTTCAAAATTAACTGTGGTTCTCTCTGTATTTGATTCTGTCTCAGGCTGACCACTGCAATTCCTTGGAGGACAGATACCAGGAAGGCGCCTGCTCCCACCAGCACCAAGCCAAGACAGCAGAATTGTTAGACCATAACCTGAAACGCGGGAGATGGGTGCGAAGACACTTGAAGGGGCCAGTCGCACCTCACAGTAGAACATTACTACACAAATATCTATATGGGCTCCCGGATTAGCAGCGGAACTAAATTTTTGCAACACAGATTGCTATAGATTAGACCCCGCCCATCTCCCAGACATGATCACACTATAACACACATTTGCATGACTAGTCACAGATCGATGGTGTAACTTTTAAACACAGAGGCAGACGAGTCCTTACAATTTAAAACATTTAATTTTTCTGATTGTTATTGGGGTGGTTGACAAGCCAGAGGGCCCCTGGTTTCCCAACACATCACTAATAACAAAAACATTATCAAAATGATCAAATGTGAAGTGCCTGCACTTCATTTCTATCAATCAATCATAAAATGTACAATTCTACCAAACCATCAACTGTGACTTAGCCTGCATATCAGATACACACACACACACACACACACACACACACACACACACACACACAGGAGTGTTAATTAAGTTGTACGTAGTTATACTAACTATCGGGGTCTAGACAAGGGGTTCTAGAAGAACCTCTGATTAATGTTTGAGCATTACATGGGTAACTGTAGGGGGCTAAACAGACCTACTATTTAAAGCATATTAAATAGTATTAGCCACGAACCTCTGGCTAAGGATCAGACTGGGCGAGTTTTGTGATCGTGGGTCCCACGCATAGCAGCCGCTGTGAGGCACCCTAAGCGACATAGATTCCTAATGAACGAGTAAATAGCGAAGACCGAAGTGACCTTCATCCGCCACTGGATACCTTCCTTGGGCCAAGTGCGTGGACCTTACATAAATTAGAGTGCAGACTGACTCTGATCTGATCTGTTGAAGGTGGAGTTGTTTTGCCCCTGTCAGTGAATCTCATGTTTCCCTTTATTTCCTCCAGGAAAAAAAAATAAATAAAAAAATTAAAATTACAAAAACACGGAAATTAAACACGGGGAAGGGATGCCGCTTACTGATGGGAAACACCTGGGACAAATTAAACATGGGAAAGGAAGGCACATGAGGAAAACAACCACAAAACACGGAACAGAGTCTGACAACTATCATATTTATATAAATAAATATGCCTTGTCTACAAATGCAACAAATGCAAAACGTAAATTGGCACAGCTGGCTAAATTATGAGGAGTATTAGTGTAGTTTTCTAAGCAATAATACAGTAGTGGCCAAAATGATTAGAACACTAGTATTTTCACCTGCTAAAAAATGGGTTTAAGTCAGTTATTTCTATCTTTTGCTGTAGTGTGTCAGTAGGAAATATCAGTTTACATTTCCAAACATTCATTTTGCCATTAGTTATGCATTAGTCATAATCCAGTGAGATTTTAGTCTGACAACAGCCAGTGCTCCACACAGAGATCTGATCTGATTATCATCCAGCCTGTCTGGAATGACATGAAGAAACAGAACAAACTGTGACAGACTAAATCCAGAAGAACAGTGGCAACGTCTCCAAGATGCTTCAAGAAACCTACCTGCAAAGTGTTCCAATAATTTTGGCCACCACTGTATGTATATGTATATATGTATGGATATATCTATATTAGTTGTTGTACAAAGGAAGACTTAGTACAGAAGCTGTAAAAAATGTAAAACATGAAAAGGGTTGATGCCAAAATGCTGCAGTGGTTTATTTTTAAACAAGCAGTCCCAAAGATCACAACAAAATTTAAAAAGGCAATAAAAGTTAACACCCACTAATCTACATGAAGAGAGAGAAAGATCAATGATGACACTTTTGTAAAATGAAAAAAAAAACAAGTGTAAGTAAACGTAATTTAACAGTGTTGCAAATGGAGGAAATCGGCTTTAAATCATTTCACTACAATATTGAGACACAAAATGCCATTGCACTACAAGCAAAAAGAATAACTGATTATTTTGTGTTTATCTCCCAGTCAAAACACAGAAACTGATGGTCACACAGAGCTGAAGGACCGACAGCGCTATCATCATGATATCTAGTCCTCTGAAGATATTCTGGGTGGGTAAAGAGTAGAGTGTTAACTTACTAAAAAGGAAAATCATCCATAAAGCCTGTAAGACATTTACAGTAAATCAATCAAACACAACAGCTCCCTTTCATGTTTTTACTATTTCTATTCAGAAAACCTGGAAAAAAGCACATCATATGGACAACTTTTTGCTTTTTGTAAAATAACTTGAACTGTGAGCATGTTTGGAAGAATATTTGATATGCAGTAGCTAGTCTTACATCATCTAAAGAAAAGAAAGATAATTACCTCACTGAGATTCTTGTAGAACAAACACATCTCTTTTCTCCTATTATCTTCAGGGGAAGGCGTTTCGTAACGATAACCATATCCATCATAGCGTGAATGATGATAACTGTCGGTTTCACAGTTTTCATATGTATGATTATGAGCAAGGTCCACTGAATACAGCACAACAGCTGTGATAGCCAATCCAGCACTGACTACATTTAAAATTATCCCGATTATCAGCTGTGAAACACAAAGAATATATATATATATATACAGACATATACACACACACACACACACACACAAATAAATATGCTTTTGAAAACTTTTTATAGGCGTATAAAACTCTATATAGGCAGAGGTTGACACAACTACCCGTCTTTATAGGCAAGTACCAGATAATAGAGCCCGGTCTCATGAAAATGCGTATAAATAGTACTCCAAATAAAAACGAAACCTCGTAGTATTGATACGCAAAAATGGACTTTGGCGTGTATATGCTATAGGCACGTGTTTGGCGTGCATATATTACGCAGTTTTCGCGTACATATGATACGCATCTACCCCACAACCCTAATTCTACCCATCGCGTAGCATATACACACCAAAGTCCATTTTTGCGTATCAATACCACGAGTTTTCGTTTTTATTTGGCGTACTATTTATACGCACTTTCATGAGATCGGGTTAGATAATAGGTGACATGCCATGACATGTTTTTAATACGACGGAAACTGTATTTAACGTGATCAAAATGTAATAAAAACATTGTAAGTTAGGCCTATTAATTGTAATGATTTCATTTCCACGGTTATTCAAACAATGAATAAATTATATAGAGAAAGCGAGCAAAGAACACCGCACCAACGGAGCTTTTTGAAACTCAACCATTGCGTCGCAAAATGATTCACTGTTTCGAAGCTCTCCAATCAGATCGCGTATCGCAAATCATTTGATTCAGATCAAGACACTTACCAGACAAGAAGAGGGAAACTTCGCCGTAAGTATGCACACAATTCCAACTACAAGGAACTATAATAAAAAAAAGGTGCTTTTGATTTTGAACATATCAAAAGAATTATACTTTTTGACAGGCACAACACAACATTAACTGATTTATAAACATAAAAATGATCAAAATGAGACCTGAGTCTTACCACACTTCCGAGCCAAAAGGGTCCCTGGGCTATTCTTTCCATGGTAAACCACGCCGCGAGGCATTTAAGCACAATCCCAGCCACAATATTGAGAACACCAATTATCATCTGCACAATCTATGGAACAAGCGAACATTATAGTTAAGAATAAACCAAGTTGGCACAATGACATTGCAAGTCAACCAATCAATTATTTGCTGTCAGTGTGGACAAACAAAAATTTTTTAATGGTATAAATAAGTATTTGCATAAAGTCTCCAAAATGCTTAATATTGTTTTAATAAATTACATTTAGTTGCACATGGCTAAAAAAATTGCAACTAAAATGTAAGTTTTCCAAAACGAATACTTTTAACTAATCCAAAAACATAATGTGTTTGTACAGAGCCCATAAGGGGACATAGTTATTGGGGGGGGGGGAATGATATAAGAGGAAAAAATAAATTTCAATAATTTTGCGTTCTCTCACAAAACCTTTCCCCCAAGATACTTTGTGCTTGCTTACAAATCCACTGAAATACAGTTTTTCCTCTCACATAATATTCTTTCCATCACAAAAGTATGGAAGCTTGTTTCTACCAAGGAATAAAAAAAGAAACAAAAAAGTAATTGGGACTTTTTATCTTACAATTCTGACTTTTTTCTCACCATTTCTATCTCACAATTTGGAATTTTTTTCTCACATTTCTGAGGAAAAATGTCTGAATTGCAACATATAAACTCAAGGTTCTGAGTCAATTCTGATTTTTTTTTTTTGTTTATGCTACAAAATAAAAAATAAAAATAATTAATTTAATTAATAATTAATTCTCTTACAATTCTTACAAGACTTTTTTCCTCACAATTGTGAGGTAGTTCTGACTTTTCTTCTCAGAATTGTGCGGGTTATATCTTGCATTAGGTTTTGAACATAAAAACAAAAAAGGTAATTGTGAATTTTATCTCACAATTCAGAATTTTTTCTAAGAAAAAATTTATTGCAAGATATAAACTCGCAGATATAAAGTAAAGATAAAGTAAAGTAATGTCTGAACTATATGATGTAAATTTAGAATTGAGAGAAACAACCCTAAATTGTGAGATAAAAAGTCACCTTTTTACCTTGTTTTATTATTTTTTTATTTTAATCCTGTGGTGGAAACAATGCAAGTTTTTTGGGTAAATGCAAAAGTTTGGTGAGTAAATGCAGAGTTTCTCAGTGAAAAACAACAGTTTAGCAAGTGAATGCAAAAGTGTTGAAATATCATTTTCCCCGTTTTACCAAAACCATGTCCCTTTAGGGGCTCCATAGGTGTTTTAAAATTTAAAATTGTCCTAACATAATCTAACTCAGGGGTCCCCAATGCTGCTCTTGGAAATGGCAACATTAAGAAACGTAAAAACGTTGTAAGCCTCTTACATGGAATGTTTATTAAGTTCTGTCCAAAAAATATACAACGTATGCGAAAATCACGAGACCTGAAAAAATCAGACAGGTATTTTGGAATTAATGTAAATGTCAAACTCACTCCAAGAGCTGTGTGGACATCCTTCAGCTTCCCTTTCATAACCTGAGATACAGAACACACTGGACTGTAGCAGAGAAAACCCAGAATCTGACACAGTACGGGCCATTTGCTCTTTGGGTTTGAGGTGACGGTGATGACGGTCAGTCCTTCACCCCGAGACACTGTCAGAGTCATGCTGCAGATGGAAGTGATGGACTTCAACCTTACAGTAGATAACAATGGCCAAACCTGTTTGTTAACAGCATGAAATAAGAACAGCAAATGATTACTATTGCAGGAGGATCAGTTTTCCAGTACATATCATAATATCAGGAGGAAAAAAAGAACTTTAACACTTCAAACAGACTTAAAACAGGTTTTTTTTTTATGATAGTACGCACATGTACTATTCTACACAGCATGTTTGATTATAAAAAAAAAATCCCCCTGTGCTGTTTCATATCAGGAAGTTGTGGTACAGGCTGTTTAACCACCGTTTGTTCATTATCTTTAACGTTCTGGTCTTTTTTATTTTTGTTTTTAAGTATATGAAATTATTGTTATTAAACTTAAGAAATACCATGTTACCTTAAACTCACCTTGTGTGGCACGTGTGAGGCTCGGAGGCTCAGTACAGATGAGTGAAAATGTCACGACTCTGTGGGGTTTTTTTTTTTTTTTTTGAAGGAGGAGGAGGAGTTTTGATTTTTCCCGGCAGTGACTTCCTCATAATCTGTAAACAAGTATAACAGGAATTTTGTTAATTAATTCATTTGCCGTTTAGTAGGCCTAATTGAAGATGTAATTGGTTAATAATAACAAATGTTACTTACCTTCACTCCACAACGTTGAAAATCATATGAAAGAAAGATTTTAAAAGGTTTCAGTCAGGACGAATCTAAAGCTTCTGTAAATGATTGATTACTGTACAGTAGACATGTATCCACATGCCATCTATCTTTTCTAAAGTGGTATTAGGTCAGTAGAGCGAGACTGGGTTCATATAAGGCCTACATGTAGGCCCAGTTCCATAGACAGGGTTTAGGTTAAGCCAGGATTAAGCAATAGTTCAATTCGAACATTTAAGTAGTTTTTATAAACATGCTTTAGATAAAAACATTACTGGTGTGCATCTTGAGACAAAACAATGGCACTGACATTTTAAGATCAGTCAGTGCAAGTTTCTTTCAGTTAAAAAACAACACAGACATGCATTTTAGACTTAGGTCTTGTGTATGAAACCAGGGGGTAATGTTTTTAAAAGGTCGAAATAGCTTAAATATGCACTACTACACAGCAAGAGATTTGGCAATGAACATGTTAAGAAGCTATCGTCATGTATTTTGGACTCGAATGCATCCTGTTTTTATTTAAAGGGGTCATATGATGCTGCTAAAAAGAACAGTGTTGTAAATACAACTTAACCACTGATTTCTAGTCGTGTCCATTTTTGGAAGGCCAAACAAAGTAGTTTCGTTTTCACAACTAAACACAGCGTCACACACGGTGGCCTAGATTGAGCGGCGGCGGCCTACAGTGAGCAGAGGCCGGGGGCTAGCATGAGGAACGGCCGGAGGGTTAGAGTGAGCAGAGGCGCGGGCTTGAGGATGGCGCGGCCGTTCCTCAAGCGACCAGCACGGATCAGCTCCAGGCAGATATTGTCCTCTTTTGGAAGACCAAACAAAGTAGTTACACTTTTACAACGAAGCACACAGCGTCTTTACGACATGGCGGCGGAAACAACAATAGTACAGCGAGAATAAAAGTTACGCCTTCTTTCTTTGCGTGAACATTTGGGCGGCGTTATAAAAATCTTCCCACATAGTGAGGTAGATATGTGGGGGCGTGTTAGAACGAGTCGTTTTAGGTAGGCGTGGCTGACTCTGAACTTTTATAAAGAATATCTCTTTGGATTTGAGACTTTAGTCTTTGCAACTTTACAGATCTTCTTTATGCACCAAGAGCTTGTAACACTCAAAAGAGAAAGGAAAAATTGAAATCGCATCATATGACCCCTTTAAACTATTTCGCTACTCTGTTCTCACAAGATATAGCCTACTGTTTATGTGCGTGTTATTTTATGTAGGACTATCTGCACCAAAACAAGTGCTTTCCGTCATGCAGATCAGCCTTAGCTCATGTTTTAACTTAACAAAAAATGAAAGAAATAAAATGTCATGAGTCACAATAAGATATAAATACAAGTATAAATAGTATCTAACATAATCTGTACTATGTGTAAGCGCATTTATTGCTATTTGTATTTCCTCAGCCTTTTTGTTATGTCTGGTTTACAAACCCTTGTAAGGATACAATTGTTCTCATGTAGTTCAGAAGCTACAATAAAGGTTTTCTTTTTTTTTTTAATGTTCTGTTTTTAAATGGAATCCAATGGGGGTCAATGGGGGAGTCAGTTTGACCTCAACACAAAAGTTGTAACAACATTTGAACAGACTTTCCAAAACGAGTCAAAACTTTGCATAAATGACCCTAAATGAGAACGATTCACAAAACTTCAAGAAGAAATAAATAGTTTAACCAGCATTTGGAGCAGTTTGAAAATCGAGTGTGGGTCAGATTGACCCCAACACAAGATAAACGTATTTCAGTAATTCAATGATTTCTTGTTTAATTTGTCATCGTCAACAAGAGGCTAATGATCCACTTACTATTAGTGTGTGGCTGCCGGACATTCATTAGGCCTAAATGTTTTTTGTTTTGGGTTTTCTTTGCCGCCTTCAGCGTCTTGTCCTGGTATATGCCCACTTTTCTTGAGCAGCCTGTTGAACCAAAATGTGAGAAATACATTGGAAACGTGTATTACATTGTATACATTGGACATCGTTTATACTGTTTGTCACACATAAAGTGCCAATAACAGCGTACTCTTGAGTCATTTCATACAGTGAGAGCAGTAAGGTAAGTCGATGGCACTCCCCGCTGCCAGAGGGCGCTGTGGAACAATCGGCGTTTGCAGCGCTTTTCCCCGCTTCTTGTTGGTGCGATGATGTAATGAAGGAAAAGAAGAGTAAAGATGGCGGAGAATAGCGGCACGGATCCTGCCGTGGAGACGAACACTGAGGAAAATGCCGCCGCTAGCGCGACTATCATTAAGGTCACCGTCAAAACACCGAAGGATAAAGAAGAAATAGCCATCGCTGAGGATTCATCTGTCGCACAGGTGATATTTTTGGCGGTTTCTTGTTGTTTGTATCACCCGGGCGTTCGTTACACCAGCGGCTAACAGCTTTAGCCGGAGAGCTAACGATTGACGACGAACAGTCCAAAACCGAAAATTGTCGCAGGGGATATGTAGAATGACTTCTGCTCTTGCTAGTACTTAAATTAGGTTATTTTGAGCGTCGTATTCATTGTTTTTGGTCTTTTAAGACGCTTGTAAAGTGAGGTTTTCTAACTCGCTGTTCTCGTTAAAGAAACGGCCTGCTCAGGTATAAGGTTCTAGTCTGTCATCTTTGGTCGCGCTCTTTCTGTTTTGCTTTGTATTGTTGACTTCAAGAATATGTGGATAAATTAAATAACGTGTTATATAGCATTTCCGGGTAAAGGTGGTGCTAGCAGTGTTTGTTACTTCATTTGACCAGTTGCTGGTTAATGTTGATGTTTACGAGATCAGGTTTAATAAAAGCGACTGTGATGTTGCACAGAAGTGAGGCTGTGTTGATCTAATTTCACGTGTAACATTATAACCCGCATGTTTTGTCCTCTTAACAGTTTAAAGAGGAAATTTCCAAAAGATTTAAGGCGAACCAGGACCAGTTGGTTCTGATTTTTGCCGGTAAGATCCTGAAGGACGGAGACACGCTCGGCCAGCATGGCATTAAAGACGGACTCACGGTTCACCTGGTCATCAAAACCGCACAAAAGTAAGATTACCTGCTTTTAGGTTCAAAACATAACTGGTATTTTCATATGCAAAGTCATAATGTGTTGTAGGATAATGCCTGTGCATTATGGATGGCTCACATTTAGAGGGTTTTGTGTTTGTAGGACTTCAGGTGGTGGTAGTTCGCAGACTTCTGCCTCTTCTGGCCCTGGGCCATCGCAGGGCAACACCGATGGAAGTGCTAACTCCAGCCCGGCCGGCAACCTGGGCACTCCCCAGGGCAGTGCGCCGTCTCTAACCCCGACACAGCCACCCAATATGCTAGGTGAGTAATGTTTTTGAGTTTGTTTATATGAGATGTCAGCCCGTTGTTCCAGTTTTAAGCGTAATTCCATAATATTGTTGGTGTTTCGTGTTGCAACCAGTTTTGTTACTGTTAACTACATCTATCAACATTGTTTTTTTCTAATTGAAATAAAATATAAGTATTAGATGAAAAACTTAAACTTAAAAAAGTTTTAAAAAACCCTAAATGACAATAAATTTTGCCTTGGCAGCTAACTGAAAGAAGTATTGAAGTATTAAAATTACTGGAACACAAACTGAAACAAATATTTAAGATAAAATTAATAATATTAAAAAACAAATATAAAAAAAAAATACCAAAAATTAAACTAAATCTAAATTATACATATATACTATATTTGTAACATTCTAAAAATAAATACAGTATATTTAAAAATGTTTATTAATGATATATAATGTATGAAGTTTGAGTTTGTTTATATTGTGGATTGCTTATTTCCCAATGTGATTTTACAATATCTTATGTTGCGATGTAGCACTTTTTCAGTTTACTGGCTGATTTTTTTTATTTGTTTTAATCTAAATTAGTTCCTTTTCTACAAATAATTGTTTAAAAGACAAATGCTGAGAAACCTAATATAGTATTATGTTCTTTAAGAAAGTTCTGTTATTTTATTTTGCTTTTGTTTCACGCTGGTTCTCACTGTATGTTTTCAGCTGGGTTTGGTGACCTGTCGGGCCTGGCTAACCTCGGTATGGGATCTGCCAACTTCATGGAGCTTCAGCAGCAGATGCAGCGACAGCTCATGTCCAACCCTGAGATGCTGTCTCAGATCATGGAGAACCCGCTTGTGCAGAGCATGATGTCCAACCCTGACCTGATGAGGCAGATGATAGTCGCCAACCCACAGATGCAGCAATTGATGGAGCGCAACCCAGAGATTTCACACATGCTTAACAACCCAGAGCTCATGAGACAGGTATGTTATTAGACATGTACTAGAAGTTATTTTGCTTGATTTTTTTTGCAATAATAAAATGCGCAAGGTAGTAAGTACGCTGTTATATTTTGCCTTCAGAAAGTTCTTTATTCTGACTTGCACATCTAAAAGGTGTGCATTTGCTTCATTGCATTATTTCAGGAACTGATTTGTTTTTATTAACTTTCTTTTTTTGCTTGTCAAGACAATGGAGTTGGCACGAAACCCAGCCATGATGCAAGAGATGATGCGTAACCAGGACCGGGCACTTAGCAACCTCGAGAGTATTCCCGGGGGTTACAATGCTCTTCGGAGGATGTACACGGATATTCAAGAGCCCATGTTTAGTGCTGCACGTGAACAGGTCAGATAAATTTATTTATTTAAAAAAATATATTTATTTTAATTTGAAAATTTTATTTTAATAATAATAAAAAAATGTTTTCACCTAAAATATTATTGAATTTTTCAAATTCACTGTCAAGTCTTAACACTCATATGAAATGGCAACATAAAATGCTATATTGCATCATCTGAACAGTTTGGAAATAACCCCTTCTCGGCATTGGGTGGAAATACTGATAACTCTGGAGCACAGCCCTCCAGGATAGAAAACCGAGAGCCCCTGCCAAATCCCTGGGGTCCCCCTGACACTGCTGCCGCCACCACCACCTCTGGGACGGCTACCACCACCAGCTCCACCACAAGCTCAACCACACCCAGTGTGTCCAACCCTCTGGGCATCAGCTCCTCTAGCCTTGGAAACGGTAATGGTCTTTTATGTAAACATTTGGCTTTAATTTTAAAACCAGGTCCATTAATTTTATTGAGGATATGTTGTAGTAGAATTTTCAAGCAGATAATATGAGTTCACAGGTATAGCAGACTATATATTTATTTTGTTAATAATATATATAAAAATATTTTTTAAGGTCAAATACTGCATAAAAGGGTTTACATCTCAAATAAATTGATTCTGTCTATCTATCTATCTATCTATCTATCTATCTATCTATCTAGGTATGTTCAACAGTCCTGGCATGCAGAGCTTAATGCAACAGATCTCTGAGAACCCTCAGCTTATGCAGAACATGCTTTCTGCTCCTTATATGCGCACCATGATGCAGTCCCTGGCCCAGAATCCTGATATTGCCTCACAGGTAGCAAGACCATCATTCCCAAAAGTTCATCATTAATAGAACTTTTAATTTACTATAATTATCTGTTATTAATATGTAACCCTAACCCTTTTTCAGGTGTTGATGAACAACCCTCTCTTTGCCGGAAATCCACAGCTGCAGGAGCAAATGAGACAGCAGTTACCTGTATTTATACAGCAGGTGTGTTCAGTTTGCGTTGTTGTAGATTGTCTATGGGGTATAGGTTTAATTTGCTTTTATTTGCTAACTGACTTTTTTTCCTGACTCACTTGCAGATGCAGAACCCAGAATCCCTTTCTGTCATGACAAATCCTCGAGCCATGCGAGCCCTAATGCAGATCCAGGAGGGACTGCAAACCCTTCAAACCGAAGCCCCTGGTCTTATGCCCAGGTGCAGTTCCAGTTCCACAGTTTTTTTTTTTTAAATTATTATTATTTTTTT